GAATGTGATTTTAATATTAGCGAATAAGATAAATCAAGTTGTATGGATTATTCAACGTGTTAAGACTTGTTCATTTTAATTATTTAAAGAAATTAGCTTGTACTTAGCTCTTAGTACATAGATATTTGAGAATGAAATGGATATATAATAGCCTCACAATTTTCTTAATGGTCCAAAAATGTTTCTATATAACATAATACACTTTTTTTTACATATATTTATCCTTCACAATTATTGCTGATTACGACTACATTCTGTAATTATTATCGATTTACAGAATAAATGACCATAAAGTATGATAACGATGAGCTCATAAGCTGGAACAGAATATATACAAATATAAATTTTAAATTAATTAACAAATAAGTACGAGAGAAGCGTCATTGTCGATCAATTCGCAATTGGTATAAGACATTCGGTCCGGATTGAATCAAGAAGTTGCAGATTCGAATTCTGGCTAAGACGTTTTTTGCAATAAGTTTTTTAGTTTCAGTGTTTAGAATACTTGTAGCATCACTATCAAATTGGCGATCCATTTAACTTGTGATATTATTTCAGTTTTATTGATTACGTTTTAAAGTTCGACAGTAATCGGCGCGCAGTTTATCGTAGTTAAAATTTAAAAAGTAAAAATATAATTGAGTACTAATATCTCGGTCAACAGTGGGCGTTTTCTTCGTACTTATTCGATGTATTTATATATATACAGCGGTATTTAAAGTCGTATTTAAAATTATACAATTTTTAACATTCCCCTACGTAAATTGTTCGTTTTACCGTAGCAAAACCTTCTAAAGACGGCAAGAATAGACCAAAACATATCGTTATTCCGGAAGTCTTTAGATTTAGGTATGTTATTATTACGAGGCATTTTTGTATGTTCAGTGGAGCCGCGTACCACCGAGTGCTGCTTCTGTGATGCCATATATTAATTCATATTAATTAATTTGCTTTACGCTATTGTAAATTTTAGACATATATTTAATTAAAATCTCCTGTATTTTCTTATACACTTACATTTTTTTTAATATATCGTTGCTATGATCTATTATTTCTTGACCAATGTAATTAAAAAACAAAGTCATAATAACCGATAATGTACAACAATAATATACTTGCATCACTAATATTTTTTGCTATAATATATTCGCAAAGCTACGGAACTTACAAGTATTTAAAAATCGATAATTGATACAATTATATTGTTAATGATACAACTAGAAGCTTACAAACTCACACGATATAGATTGATGCTCATCGTACCCACACCTATTGAGATTGCAAGTAATTCAAACTGTGTGAAAGCGGATTGGAAAAAATCGATAAACCTTGAATCATCACATTAATATCAATTTAAAATCTTAGAAAAAGACTGTTAAATCATAAAAAAATATCCACAACATACGATATATTATAAAAGTGTAAAAAAATAATACAAAAATGAGTAATTAAATTATTAGGACATTTTTAGAATATAAAATATTACTAGTTTTGTTTCATAAAACACAATTTCTTACATTTTTGAAAATAATCTTGAAAAAAAATCTTATAAATTACAATACCAACTTAATAGCATTTCGATGACAATCGACTGCTTCCATGGTGCTATTACGACTATTGAATTTTTCTGAAGAATCTGACAATTTCGTTTGGCTTCTGTTTACAATACATTCAATTCGATAACTATAAGAAAAATCCAGCTATGATATTGAATCAAAACAATACGTGTATAATTTCTTTATCAGCATTTAGGAAATCATTACCCAGTGATTTGAAACATTGCACATATGTGTTGCACATACATTTGCATGCGTACTTCTACGGTTGCTACTGCGGTAGTATTGATGAAGGCCAAGGTTAGAAACAAATACAATGTTAACAGTTTGCCATATTTCTCCTGATCGATAAAAAATTCCATGTTCTCGTCCAGAAACTGCCGTGATTTCCGCGATTCGTTTAATGGCATTATGATATCAAGAATTCTTGGCGTCAAACATATTAGGAAGATAAAGAGGAAGAGTACCGCATATACTATTACTGTAACAATTGGAGTGATATTCTAATTTGAATTTCGTGATCGTACCTCGATTGAGAATGTTTCGCAAGTTAATTGTGTTACTCACTCAACGTAATAATTGTAATGATTCTTCCAATACTAGTGCGATTATGCATGATTTTAAATTCTTCTTCTTCTTTTAGGGAATTCCAATTACATCGCACTTGTTCCATAAGTCTTTTTAGCTAAAATAAGGTTCGAATCATTCTTTCATATATCGTTTTATTGATATAAAAGTGAGACAAGTAAAAAATTAACATTATTGAAATAAAAACTTAGGGTTTCCTTTCATTGTCTCAAAAATGTTTATTTTTTTGACTCGTGCCACTTTTAACGGGGCGATATATCTTAAGGGGTTACACCACAGTAGAAATTTCAAAAAATCGATTTTTTTTTATTGGCTTAAAAAATCCTTTAAACCCTCTAGAATAAGAGACAAACGGTTTTATATCTGCCAGAAATCGTTTTCATTGAAATTTCGAGCTCTTTCTCGA